TATAAAGTATATATAAAATAAAAATGTATTATAAAAAACATATCGTATTTTAAAATTCTATAATTTCACTAAATTTTTTTCATAAGAAACCAATAAGTCACATATGAGACTAATAAATCAAATCAATGAACTATAGAAATACATCTCTCATAATTTTCTCAATTCTTTATTAAATTTCAATAGTGAAAGACATTAACGCGTGTGCTTTCATTTATTTTCGTAGTCCCAGAAGAATCGCGTTAATTATCGGGAAAGATTGGAAATCAGAAGTGCTTTAGTTGATTTTATTGGTTTACGTGCTTTGAATAGAATATAGATAGAAGCCACGCCTGTGCTTGGAATGCGACTTATTGATAAGAGATTTAGATATACTAAAGGGCCATTTTTAAAGCTTATCAGTATAATCTGTTTTAGAGAGAGAGAGATAATTAAAAGTTTTTATATATTACAAAAAAATCCCATAATTAATAAAAAAGAAAGATAAATCAATAAAATTAATGTGCGTATTAAGTATATTTTATTTTACACACATTTGAAACTTATGTAGAGATCTTATGTTATTCTAAAAAAATATTATTATAAATACAATAATTAACCGTAATTATACAAAGTAAATACAATCGTTAATTGCATGAAATGCGAATTCTGAGAGATGGACGAGACAAGGGTGTCGTTGGATCCGCAGACACGCGTTTTACGACGATATAATGCTTACCGCGTACGAGGGAATTGCAATACACACGAATCGAATTTGAATTGCAGATACATAGCGGTGACCCAGCCGATAAAGTACGCGAAGCACAAGAACAATAGAAGAGTATGGTTGACGATACTGTTGGTCTGGGCGATATCGGCCGCGATCGGCAGCCCGATTGTCCTAGGCCTGAATAACACCCCCGACCGGATACCGGATCAATGTCTGTTCTACAATACGGATTTTATCATCTACTCGAGCCTGTCCAGCTTCTATATACCCTGCATCATTATGGTATTTCTCTACTATAATATATTCAAGGTGAGAAAGCGATTATCTTTTCTTTTGCGCAAATATGCCATCGTGTGATTTTATATTTTCTTGCACGCGTGTAAGAGCGAGTTGAAGGATATGTATACATGGTGTGGTCAGTATTTTATAATCAGTGTGTCAATACACATAGCAGCTATATTTATCTTCAGATTTTACGCCATAAAATAAAAAAAAAAAATTATGTATATTTTTTTTTTTTAGTTGTATCTCTTTTATCGTAAAATCACATAAAGATTTTAATATAACATTTAGAAATCTCTGCAATTTAATAATCAAAATCTTTTGATTTAAAAATTTTTTTCAAACTTTTTTCGAACGTAATTGCGAATAGATATTACAATATATTTGAAATTATATCGAATATCTGTATTTTGTAATAAAGTAAAATTGTAAATAAAATTTACTAAATTATATTTTATTTACAATTAAATTATATTTGTGTTAAATTTTAAAATATAATACAATTACATTGCATAGCAATTGTACAAAGAGTGCGATAAAATTTATTTCAAATATTCCGCTTCAAAAAGAAATCTATAAGCTATCTTTGTAGTTGAATCAACGCACGCATGCAATGACAAGAAGACGCAAAAGAAGTTATCTCTTGCTCGATTACAAAAGGGCAAAAATTTATTCGCGCTTCTTTTATCTCTGTGATTAGTTCAGGAACGTGAACTGATCGCAAAATTGGATGCACCGTGAAAGCTCTTGTAAAGGCGAGTCCGCTGTCTTCGTAATTTAATTGTCACTTATATGCTGCGGCACCGCTAGAATTAATTCAGTTCTGTTACTGACAGAGAAATGTTTTAATTGCCTTGAAATTATAAGACTAAAAAAATATAATAATATATAAGAATTGTAATATGTCATATCGGAATTATCTGGATTATCGGATATGACGGGATTATAATAATTATATAATGTAACCATTATACGATTATATAATATGACTGCGTGGAAACTTATGTATTTTGAAAATTAAAAAGATTAGCTATATAGAATGTTATACACACACACACACACACACACACACACACACACACACACACACACACACACACACACACACACACACACACACACACACACACACACACACACACACACACACACACACACACACACACACACACACACACACACACACACACACACACACACACACACACACACACACACACACACACACACACACACACACACACACACACACACACACACACACACACACACACACACACACACACACACACACACACACACACACACACACACACACACACACACACACACACACACACACACACACACACACACACACACACACACACACACACACACACACACACACACACACACACACACACACACACACACACACACACACACACACACACACACACACACACACACACACACACACACACACACACACACACACACACACACACACACACACACACACACACACACACACACACACACACACACACACACACACACACACACACACACACACACACACACACACACACACACACACACACACACACACACACACACACACACACACACACACACACACACACACACACACACACACACACACACACACACACACACACACACACACACACACACACACACACACACACACACACACACACACACACACACACACACACACACACACACACACACACACACACACACACACACACACACACACACACACACACACACACACACACACACACACACACACACACACACACACACACACACACACACACACACACACACACACACACACACACACACACACACACACACACACACACACACACACACACACACACACACACACACACACACACACAAACAAACTTATAAAATCAATTTTATGTATCTATTGAATGTTTCGTATTTGATAAAAATCATGTTCAAATTTGATATGGTTAATTTCTAGCGCAGATATTGAACAAAGTGTCTTGTGGTTTATAACAGCGGTTATTATATTGCGGTTGATCATAAATACGAGTAGTCGGATAATTTCCACGTTTAGAGCTCACAGAATATTTTGATTGGGTTGTTGATTTCATGCTTGTGGCAATTGTACGCGGATAATGTATGTGAAATGCCATAATAATATTGATACATGGCTTCTATTTTCAATATAATGTGACCACATCATTTGTGTGATATCATGCGTTCACGTCGTATAAAACGCATCTTCCATGGTAGTTGTCATTTATAAATTTTTAAGCTAAACTTCGTGGAATTTTTTAAAGATATAAAAAATAAATTTTGATAGAGAATAAAAATATATACAAAGTTTCCTGAGTTTCCAGGAAAAAAATGTAGCAAAATTTTAGTAAAAGATAGAATTCTGTAACAATACATCTTTTATTAATCTTGATACAAATTTATATTATAAATCTTATATTAATTATATTTAAATTTTTTGAAGATAAAATCTTACAAATAAATGTAAAATAAATATACATTATATGTTATAATAGTTTATATGTTGATTAGCTTTGTGATTTATGCAGCACTGCAGTATCGTAAAAAAAGAAAAAATATAAATTTAATTAATTTGTTTCTTTATCATAGTAATAATTATGTTTTTCTCAAGTACGTTATCGTAAAGAAATATAAAGAAGTATTTTTTATATCAAGAAATATATATAATCCTTTTTTAAACTTATAAGAGAAACTAAACTCTCCTCGATGCAGCTAAATCGACAACAAAATATTATAATGCTTTAGCGGAAGATTTCCTTTCGTAAAGCTGTCAAAATAAATCTCGTTAACTGTAGATAGGTGCTCGATAACGCGTCTCGAATGTTATCTGCAAGAATCTCACGCAAAGATTTATGTTATACGTTTACGTCTTGCGTTTGCAACCCCTCGTCTGATTTATATCACAATGTAGGTTTTCAATTGATCGTTTCAGGCTCTGCGAAACAGAGCGAGAAGGGCACGTGCTAGCAGGAAACCGAATTTAGGCGATATAAAACCGGGGAGTATTATCGAAAATATCGCACACACGCGTAGGTGAGTACATGATTGTAAAACACTCGTTAAATATTTATTATCTTATTATACTGTGTGTAGAAGTTACAGCAGGACAAATTTTCGCAATTTTATTTTATAATTAATGTATGCATATTTGATTTTGCAATTAAATGTCCTTTATTCAAAACTAAAAAGAGAGAAAGAGAGAAAGAAAATTACGATTTGACTTTTACATTAATTTTGAAATTGCTTTTGTAATGATGTTAAACAATTCAGGAATCAAACATAATTTGTTTTAATTTGAAATGTATCTTTTATTTATCGTATATATGGAAAATGTATCAGTTACTATGTTATGCTGTATCTTTTACATTTTTAATAAAACTGCTGTTTTGCATGTGACGCATGTAAATATATACATTCATACACACACACACACACACACCTACACACATAATTGTCTGCTTTCTTATTCTGGCATATTTTTGTTTTTATGTGACTTAACAAAAAAATAGATGCAGTCTTAATACATTTTGCATTAAAATTCGATGAATAAAAGTGTTAATACTTTATAACTTGCAAAGTTGAAGAAATATTTCTATTTTCTTGATTTTGCGGATTTGTTTTATGTCTTCTGATATAAACAATCTCAAACTTTAAAAAATTAAACAAAATATGATTTATAAACGTTTTATAAGAGAGAACACATGTACTTTCATATATCCTTGAATTATTGCATTTCCGACTCTCGTGCCAGTTTAGGTCGATAAATTCTTGGATTTTTAATTCTTCTTGGATTTTCAACTTGCGTGTTCTTTCACTTTTTCTTTGATTATTAAATTTGTAGCTTTGCAGACTTACTACTTAAAATAATTTATTAGATCGTCTATTTTTTTTTATCTTAGTCATTACATTACCCCAAAAATGTACAATTATTTATTTAATATGTATATATAATATATTATTCACACATGTGAATGTGTACTTGTTATCATATATATAATATAAGATACATAAATATAATGTTGCTCACATATAGAAATATATTATTTTTCATATAAATGTTTATAAACAAAAAGTGAGTTTTTTCGATGCGATATAGATGTGTCTTTCTACTTTTTGTAATCGATTTGAATTAACTTTTCGAAAATTTTGAAAGACTTATAACTTCCGTGTAATATTAAAGTTTGAAAATAAAGCAATCTAAGATCTTAATTATAATTTTTGGAAGAACTTAAAAGTAGTTAAAAATATGTAATGCTAAAAATTGGGATGGTATGATAAATGATGACTTTTATCGTATACAATTTCGCTGAGAATAAATTGTCTCGAAATTGGGCAAGAAAGCTGAAAGCACATTCTATATAACAGATCTAATCAGGATTGATTCACGCGATTTCCAAATTCGCAACAAATTGTCCCGCGGAAAAGGAGCGCGAGAGAAAATTTATTCATGTGCTGTCTTATACGACGTTATCCGGCCCGTTTGCTGGCATGATAAGCGCGAGGATAGGCTGCCTCCACTTAGAGCGCGACGATTCTTTTCAATTTTCACGACCGCGTAAGGCTTGCATTCCAACGAGATAATTTCTCGCAGAGATTGGCGCCAGCTGACAGAGCGCGAGCTGAGGGACAGCATGGCCAAAGGTTAATCTCGGGCATCCCCAGATAATTCGCTTCTGTCGCGCGCCTTCTCTCGCACGTGCTTTCATTTCCGCCGTACTGACGAGGGCGGCCCCGTCTTGAATAGCCAATTACTTCCACGTGGTTTAATCGCCAGTCTTTTTGCTTGCATCTTTCAAAGTATGCATCTCGTTACATCTTCCTTGCTCGTTCTTCGTTACACTTCGTGTTAAAATTTATGCAAATTGAATGTTATCGGGAAAAACATCCTTTATCGACATTTGACATTTATAACGCTGATGACAAAAAGGATTTGATTAATACGTATAAAAACATCGAATAAATTAAAAAATTGAAGATTAATCGCGCATTAGAATAACAAAACTTGAATAAATATTATATGTTATGAACAAAAAGATAAATTTAATTTTTTATGCAGATTATAATTTATTTTATTAAAATAAATAGCATTTATAGCAATAATTATTCCGTGTTTCAAAGAAATTAAAAATGATGTGACTGTCTAAGTGCATAATTTGAAACAGCATTAAATATTTTACTGTCATTATACAAAATTAATATCCATAATTGTATAAGATTTATATGACTATTGCGTGATATCATAACCAGAATGTAGTATATTCACGTTTATTTATATACAATTATTTATCAATGTATCGGAATATAAAAAGTTATTTGCAGATCGTAAATTCAAGGATTATTTACTTTGCAAAGTTTAGCGCGCGCGATAAAATAACTTTATAAAAATATAAAATATGTATTCTATGTTTATATGTTTTCGTCATTGTTTCGCACATACGAGTAGATAAATACATAATATGACATATCCAAAACGTACAATCATTTGAATGTATTGTAAATATTATAACATTTTTAATTTAAAATATAATAATTGTTTGAATGTTAGATTAAAAAATTTCAATAAATTGAATTTTTTAGTGATGTATAACAAGCTCTTCAATTTCGATTAAAATTGATTTTTACTTTAAAGGAGTTTTAAAATTCTTGGTCTCTAGATAAAAAGATATTTAATATTGAAAATTAAAAAATTGTGTATTCAGGCACAGATATCCAATTAAAGTTTTATTCAAGAAAACTTAACCACGCAAAGTAAGTTGTTTAATTTGTAGAGAGATGGAAAAGGAAAGTGGTAAAGTGCTTTTTCTAACAATTTATACAGCGCCGTAGAGCTTAATAGACATATATGTTCGTAAATATCCAAAAAATTTAGTTACCCAAGAAGATTTTTTAAAAATATTAAGGTACTTCGTTAAGTACTTGAGACCACCAACGAGAGTATATCGTAAAGATATAAACTTCCCAATACAAACTCCTGTTTACTTTCTTCCCAACGAAGAGCGCAGAAAATTTAAGTATTTAAGCACTTAAACACAGAGAAAGAACGTGCTTACATACTTGGAGAAAGCAGCCGAAAAGCAGGGCTGCTGTTTATATTAACATTATCAAAAAACCAATTTAAGTTAAAACGCAGAAATGGCATTAATTACGATCCTTATTTTGTTCTGTATCATAAAATGTCAATAATATTGGCATTGGTAATATTATATTATAATAAGAATATATTACAATAGAAACTATATATTACAATAAGAAAACAAACAATTTTATATAAATTTTTAATAATATCAATTAATTTGCATAGACTAAACTATATAATAGAATTAACTTTCAAATTAATCATTCATTTTTCTTTTTTCGCCAAATAGTGCTATCTATAATGTAAAAAGAATTTTAATTATTTGCGACGATTTTTTTTTTTTTACTGAATAAAACTTTTATAAATTTTTACACAAGAGCACATTGCATATATTACAAAACAAATTTATTATTTGATTTTACATTATTTTTTTATAGGCGGACATAATTATAATTAACTTATACTTAAAAAATTTTATTTGCTCTGTTGGTTGTTAACGGATAAAAACTAACAATAACGCATCTCGAGAAGAATTAACTTCTTTACTTTGTAGCTTATTGTTATTAGTTTTTATTATGATGGAAATCTCGCATTTACAATGTGATGCATGATATTTTCACACACAGATGCCGTTGATAAATTATACTTGTTAGATGTTTACAGTTGCAATCGCAATGCGGTAACTTTATACGTATTTTGGTATCTCTCTGGGGTGCAATATATCTGACACAATCCAACGTCTCGGTTAATCCCCTATGTGCACCCATGCCGGCCACGTTGTCCCTTTATCAACTTTGTTATCGTGCAAACCGAGATTTGGCCAAGAGTATTGAAATTTTGTGGTATTTATCTTGGCAATTTAATTCATGAATTCTGTTGCCGCGGCACGCATATCTTATCCCGAGGCTACCTTTATGTATATACATGGGACTTTTATTGGATTTACCCCAACAATTATCATAATTAATATAATTATTCCATATGATGACACAAAGTTGAAATTGCTTGTGTTGATCATTAAATGGAAATTAATAAAGACCGTTTATTTTAATTAAAATTGCATAAATCTTTATACTGTTTTTTTTTTTATTACTTTCTCTATAAAAAAGATTACGCATAAATATATGTATATCTCGAAATATCTCTTTATAACTTGTTTATTTTCTCTCAGTAATTTATTAAAATTTAGTACCTCAATTTGCAAACATTTTTACTCTGAGATTTATTTGGATTACAATTGCGTATTCATTTGTGCAATAAATTCGCATATTTAAATATAAAAATAGATTCTTTGACATAGGGAACTGCTTTCTCGCGAGAGATTCATTTTTATGCATGAATGTGTGTCTTATGTATGCAGAAAATTTACAATCTAAAGAAAATGCTGTGTCATGCTTTAAGCAATCATCGAATGTATCGCATGATGTTCAAAGTAAATCGCAGATTTCTATCATCTCTTTTTAAAATTTGATAATGCAAAATTTTGCAGCAAAACTTCTGGCTTACAAAAAAGATAGAAGTGTTAATAAAACTTATGACGGCAGACTCAAATCGTATTCTTTTGCTAAATGTAGAAATTATTTTGCGATGCAAAGCGAATTCTCTGCATGAATTTAAAAGCATTAAACATCGTAACGCAATTCTGTATTAGTCAAACAGCTGAAGTTCTGACAATAGCACACATTTAGAGAATATTTAATTTAATAAAATTTGCGAATTTGAATATATTATGAAGAAAATTAAAAAACTTACAATCGTGAATTTCGGTTAGATGCATTAGTGCGCATTAATGCGCGCTAAAGGTTGTTAGAAATTAACACAATAGTGCATAATACATATATAAATGTAACTTATATTAGAAGCAAATGATATGTTTAATATAAGTTATTATTTATTACATTATTTGGCAAAAAAAATCGAAGATTTTATTAACCAAGACGTTTATGTTATATATTATAATTTGCAATTAGATAAAATGGTACAACAAAGTTTATATTAATTTTCGTTTTCTTTTTAATATTTTGATATAATTCTTCTTTCTTAAAATTTTCTTGTTTAAATATTGGATAATTTAGAAAAGAAATATAAGTACAAAATTTGAATATTTATTACAAATATTTTGAATTCGATCGTTGTTTTATAGCAAGTTAAAGATAAACAGCAATCGTTGAGATCTCCGCCATAAAAGAGAAACAGCGACGCTCTGTCACTTAGGATCTTGCAGGTGCTGTCAAAAAGCGTGTCATCGCTTTGTGCATGGTAGATACGCTACTTGCCGGATTAATGCTGAGGGATGCCGGAAAAACAAGGAAGTGCATGATAGGTGTAGAGGCTTTTCTAGAGGCTTTTGACTAAGATCACGTAGTGGGTATTCTGTGGCAAGGTTTGCGGAAACGGCGCTGGGGGCGGCCGCCCTGGTGGCTCCTGGGATCGAGGAACCCACGAACACCGCTTCCGGCAGCAACGAGGACGAGGATGAGACGCCCCTCGATCCCGTCGTCGTCATCTCCAACGACAAGAGCACGGAATTCTTTTTAGCCACGGTCGTCGAGGAAGCAGCGTAAGAATTTCATCATATCTTCCTTTCATTCGTCTTGCAACGAGCAAAAGAAGGATGTCAGAATTTTCTTTCAACTATCGGTTATCGAAAGGCATTGTCATATTGTTGCGCGACGCGGCTTGTCATGCTTATCATGAAAGACGAAAGAATGCATCATTTCTGAGACAATAACTTTCTTTCAAGATTGTTAACGTATACTTCTTTGCAATAATGGTACGAGATAAAGTCAAACTAAAAGTATTTGCGCCGTTTTCAGAGCCGTTTATTCAATGTAGAAAATGCATAATTAGTAAATGATAAATTATTGCATTGCATTTGTAGCATCAATTATCTATCCTAATTATTAGATTTAATAGCAACACAAGTCAGTAAGTAAGAAATACTGTATTAAAAAAACCAATGGAGAATTTTTATATTAAGTATTTTATATAAATAAAATAATAATTTTTTTAATAAGAAATAAAGTAATAAAATCTATATCTAGTTTTTCTATTTTGTGTGGATAGTGAAACATACTGAAAATTTATGAAATAGTTCACACACAAATAAACTGATTACATATATACTAAAGAGCATGGTATAATCAAAATATAATTTTTCTTTCTGTCAGACGCTAAGCTTCAAAAAATAAGACAACCGCGTAAAAATTCACGAATGTACAAAAGGCAAAAGAGACAAATACGTGATGTTTCATTCATCCGTGAAGCAAAGAGAAAAATAAAACTCGCACACGGCGGTTTCTTTTTATTATAAAATATAATTTCAGTGTTTTTATATTATTATCACACAATTCCTCTTTTTTTTTTAATTCTTGTGATGTTAAAAGAAATACGAAACTTGAAATTGAAAAAAGAACTTATTACCATCAAATTAAACTTCTTTTGCGTAATATAACTTGTATATTGATAAGTATTTCATTTAACTATTATATAAATTTTTCAGGAGACATATTATATCATTTTCTCGATATCGTGCGGCGAATAAGAAAGATCCGTAAAATTTTTTAGCAATAATTATCTTCTTACAGTTTTTTTCTCGGAAGTGTTTCGAGCAACATGAAAAGGCTTAAAGTTAATCAAAAGTTTTAGTCTACCCTTTAATTAGCATATTGGTAGAGAGTGAGAAAGAGAGA